TTTTTCGGGGTGGTCTCATGTCTAGGATGGCATTTACTTTGTCCGGGTTAGCCTCAATGTCGCACCGGTTAACGATGTACCCCAGGAACTTACCCGAGGTGACACCAAAGGCACACATTCGGTTTTAACTTCATGTTAAATCTACGCAGTATTTCGAAAACTGAGTTCAAGTCTTTTATTAATTCATGCAAAAACTGGGTTTTGACGACCATGTCGTCTACATAGCACTCTATTTTTTGGCCAATCAATGGCTCAAACAACTTATTTACAAGTCTTTGAAAGGTTGCCCCAGCATTTTTTAGCCCAAAGGGCATGACCTTGTAGCAGTACAGGCCAAGCTCGATTATGAAGGCAGTCTTTTCTTCATAAGTCGGGTCCATCCTGATTTGGTTGTAGCCCGAATAGGCATCTATAAAGCTCAGCAAATCATGCCCCGAGGTCACGTCCACCAGACGGTCGATCCTGRGTAATGGGAAGCAGTCCTGTGGGCAAGCTCAGTTCAGGTCGGTGTAGGCGACGCACATGCGCCATTTACCGTTAGCCTTTTTCACCAGAACGGGGTTGGCCACCCAGCTCGGGTTATGGACTTCCTTGATAAAATCGACTGCAAGGAGCTTCCTGACCTCCTCGTCGAATGCCCTCCATCACTCTAGGGCTAGGTTGCGCTTCTTCTGTCTAATGGGCCTAACTACAGGATCAATATTAAGMTTATGAGTTATAATGTTGGGGTCTATGCCGGGCATTTCTACCGCGGACCATGCAAAAACATCTAAATTTTCAAGTAAGAAGCATACCAGTTTAGATCACAAAGGCTCCTCAATGGAAGCGCCGATCTGAAGCGTTCGGGCTGGGTCCTCCTTCGATGCTGGGATGGAGATGGTCTCTTCTGTGGGCGCAGCTCGCTCCTCGCTCTGCTCCGTAGGTCACTCCAGCTCGAGGTCATCGGCCACCTTGGCTTTCCCTTTGAGGGCGGCGACGTAGCATTTGCGAGAATCAAGCTGGTCACCTCGCGCTATCCCAATTCTGAAGTCCGTGGGGAACTTAATGGTCAAATAGTAAGTGGAGACCACAACTCGTAAGGCATAGGTGATCGGCCGACCTACTATGGTACGAGGAGGGGGTTGCGACCAATAAGAAATCGTGATTGAGCCCCACTATGCTAGGCCAAGTGCCGACTTCCACAGGTACTGTAATCCTTCCCAGGGGCCTGACTTCCTCTCCACTGGAGCCTACCAGGGGAGTGCTCACGGGCTTCAGGTCGCTCTCTTGGAGCTGAAGTTGGTCGAAGGCTGTTTTGAAGAGGATGTCTGCTGAGCTGCCTGAGTCGACGAGGACACGTCTGACTTCAAAGTCATTGATCTTCATCTTTATGACGAGCGCGTCATCATGGGGGTAGTGGACCCCGCGCGCGTCATCTTTTGTGAAGAAGATTGGGTCTTCCATCCTTGGCCGCTTTGGGGGGTTCTGTTCCTCCCTGGCAGCCTTGCGAGCTGATGTCTGAGCTGCGACTGAGGTGCAGCCCACCACAATCAATCCTCCGACTATCACGTGGATGGTCCCCCGAACTGGTCTTTCTTCGGGGGCTGCTTCTGCAGCTGTTCTACCTGCCTGCTAGACTCGGGAGCATTTCTACTCTGCTCCCCCTGCCGACCTGCTTTATTATTATTATTATTATTTTGTACAAAATTTCTCAGATACCCGCGACGGATGAGCTCCTCTATCTCATCGCGGAGGTTTTTATAATTCTCGGTGCTGTGATCGTGATCTTTATAAAAACTACAATACAAATCTTTATTTCTAACATTAGGGTCTGCCTTCAGCCGAGGTGGTCACTTCACATACGGGGCATCCTTGATCGCCATGAGGATCTCAGCCCGCTTCGCGTTGAGGGGCGTGTAGTCCCTTTCTGCTGCTGGAGCTCGGAAAGGCTGATTTGGCTTTGCCCCCCGAGCTTGGTCCTTCTTCTTCTTGCTGTTGCCCTGAGTTGGGGGCTCCGACTCCCTCTTCCTTTTTTCGAGGGCCTGCTCACCCTTCTGGTTGATCTCTTCCTCCGTCCCTATAAACCAGTCCGCGAGCTTGAGGAACTCGGTCACAGTCTTAGGCTGATTGGCAACCACGTGCCACTTGAATTCTTTATGAGTAATACCTCGCTTGGCTGCGGTGAGGCGAACTATGGGGTCCAGATCAGATATCTGTAGATAAGCATCATTAAACCACTTGATGTAACTCTGAATGGACTCCCCTTCCTTTTGAACTATGCCGAGGAGGCTTTCTTGAGTTCTTGGGCACCTCTTGCTGGTGACAAAGTGGGAGGTGAAAACTGGCACGAACTGCGCCCAGCTTCTTATCAAACCGGGCGCGAGGTTTCGGTACAATGTGCGGGCCACACACATACAGGATTCACTGGCTCTTGCCAGGTGCATCTGGGACTGAAAGGCATCCACATGATCATTCGGATCGAAGGATCCATCATACTTGTCTAGTGGAGAGAGCTTGAAGTCTCTTGGCATGGGGACAACAAGAAGTTCTGGCGACAGCGGGGAATGAACTGAAAGGAGAGGAGTAGCTTTAACTTCATATGAACTTACCTCCTCCTTACCTCTGAGCTCGGGCAAAACGCGAGTGGCAATTCGGCGAGCTTGTCGGCACCTCCGTTGTTGCTTGGTCAGCTCAGCGTTGGTGTTGCTTGCTTCGGTATTACCGAGCTCGATGGGCTCAGACTGCTAGTGGTAGCTCTGAACCGGAGGGCCCTTCCTGTAGTCTGGGGCGGTGCGGGCTTGTCCAGCTGGGAGGCCCCCGACCTGCCCACAGGCTGCGAGGCGGGGGTGGTTGGCCTATCCTTTCTGCCATGAGACGAGGCCTGGCTTCTGGAAGGATTTTGGGCCTGAAAGGCTTCTCCCCGGCGAGGTTGTTCGCTCTGGCAGGAGGGCTTGGCATGCTTCATGGCCGGGTGCCTAGGGGGAAGCAGCTACTGGGCCTGAGGCAAGGAATGGAACTGCTGCTGATACTGATACTGAGAGACCTGATGCATCACTTGTTGCTGGTAGAGTTGGAACTGCTGCATCTGAGCTTGCATGGCTCGCATGCACTGCACTAAGTCTTCCAACTGGTTCTGGTTGGTCACTAGGGGCACAACCGAAGGTTCAGTAAAGGTCGCTCCAACCGTGGAAGGGAGTGGAGCATTCACGGGTGCCACTGTGAGAGGCACGTTCAGGCTGGTGATCACGTCCACAGAGAGGGGAACGGTGAACTGTTCGATACAAACAGTAGGAAGCTGGTGTTGCTCCCCAGAAGCGTTCTGGCTGGCACCACGCCCGGCGTTGCTCGAGGAGGCCATGAATGCTAAGTTCTCAAAAGGAAAATGTTGAAACTTAGAGGAAGGCTTTTCTGAAGCGTTTCGCACAGACGGCGCCAAATGATGTTGCGCAATCGGGCACTCCTAGCTGGCAGCTGACTAGCTCCTAGCTGGCGACGGACGGTACCTGAGAAGAAGACAGTGAAGGATTCCCGGGGGACTTGCCCAGTGGGAATACTCTGATGCTTAAGTCAGAACGCTGGATAAAGTAGTAAAGAGTGCAAAAAAGGCTAAGAGTGCAGGTCGYGCAAGATCACTGAGTTAGCTCGAGAGAAAGTTCGAGTAAGTTCAAGATATTCAAGATAAGATATATGATATAAGATAAGATATGATCCCCTTTCCCCTTCGACCGAGGGTCTCTTATATATGAGCGTTCTTGTCAAATCGGGCGTAGCCGCTACTGGACCTCTGTCGCAGCCATTATCTGCCAGGGCTGCGCAGGTGACCGTTGCAGAGTACTACCCAATCGGATGAGTGACACGTCCCAGAAAGACAGACACGCCACCATCTGTCGAGAGACGTGGGTGCAGTCTTGTAGGGCCGGCAGGGACCACGCCGCCAGTCAGGAAACGTGGTGCAATCTGACGGGTACGGTCTTGTCAGATAGAAGCTTCCTGAAAACGTTGCGTCGCTTAGTAGCGAGTTGTCTTGTAGCGAATTATCCCGTAGCGAGCTCTCGGGGGTACTTTGAGGTGATCCCTCTTAAGGTTGCCCTTAGGGCAGTTTTTCTACCTAAGTGTTGGAGCAAGCTGGTTATCCTAACTTGCGAGCTGGGATAGACTTGTCTTGGAGTATTCCCTTTCAGTACATCGGTGGCTCGTGAGCTCGCGCTATACCTATGGCGAGTTGTGACGTAGCGAGCTGTCCTGCGAGCTCATTACTTAGTCACGGTCAGGTTGTGGTGCTAAGATGTTACTTGTGCTGAGTCATATCCACGTGTCACCATCTTAAGGGGTCAGGTCAAATCACCCTCCATCAATTCATATATTATATATTTGAATTTTTGTGGTGTATCCATGTGTATTATAAATTTCCCATTGTATCCATACATATCCAAAGCATATCCAAAATCCAAATGCGTTTCATCAATATTTGCATTTTTCGATACTGGACTACCCAATGCCTCAACACATGCCCAACTTGAGTTTAGGTTAGGCCTGAGGTTTTGGGGCCAAGTCCAACTTGGAGTACGAAAAATCAAAACTAACCTATGCAAAAACTTTGGTTGAGGCAGGTTGGGCTCAGGTTGGAGCCATAGTTACACCCCTGACTTCTTTTGCCGTCGCACGGGTCCAGGCTAATTTTTAATGAAATGCAAACACGTTAATGTGATGTTTTTTCTTCACTTCAAAACAAAACATTGGGGTATTCGCATAGTATTTCACTGGTCACTTCAAATTTGGAGCGATACAGGATGCAGCAAGTGTGAAATCAAGCTGGCCAATGAGATTGGTCGTAACTCCCACATCAGTTCCACTGGATTTTGGCTTTTTTACAACATGCAAACCCAGCTAGATGAGAGAAAGAGAGATATATATAATTGAACTCAAATTTTTATTATGCCAATAAAAGGTCCAAAAGCATATATTACTAAATATATTATCCAAATAAGCGATACATAAAAAAAAAAGAAAAAATATGCATATACCAATAAAAAGAATAGGGATTGCAGATGAAGATATTATTGATTATTTCAACTAGACATCTGTGAAACGCCATTCTTTTCATTTTCAGTGTCATTTGAAAACGTATTTTACAAGACCAGGAAAGTGAATATTCATGAAGTAGTTCTCCCAATTGATGCACTTGGGGTCGAACTGAAACATACTCGCGTCATCATAGTTCACCAGGGCTGCTTTACGTAACATTTCAGTATTCAAGTCATCAAAGCTACATGTCAAAATTAAGCTTAAAATCAGTTAAACATCTACAGATTTTTGTTAATAAATCAACTATTCTTCTACTTATCAAGAATAAATTGTCCTCACTCACAAGCACCAGAAAAAAGATATAAAGATACATACACTCCTTTAAAGTATAAGTATGGTTCGTAAAGCTCCACCAAACGCATTACGAAGTTGATCTTTCGTTTGAGATCTCCATATATGCCTTTGAAATATTGACAAAATGCCATATTCAACACTTGCAAGACCTAAAAAAGTACTCACAAGATCAACAAAATTAGAAGAGCTAGTACTTATGGATTCCCCTTAATTATAATAGTTTCATTTATTTTAATTGAAAAAAAAAAGAAACATATGAATTGGAATGCCCTTAAATTTGAAGTTAGGGTGATAAAAATTCAATTACATGAGTTGTTCTACTGTTTTTGATTCATGGGGCCATCTTTTTCAGTTATTTCTTGCCCCCAACCCATCATCATGCTCTAACTTGTGTTTCAAAGACTTCCAAATTTAATGCTTCATTAGGTAATTAACCCATTTAGCAAGCTTATTGCTCATAAAAAATGTTTGTGAAGACAATGGGAGAAAAGGAAACTAAGAAAGTCACTTATTTTTAGATTTTATATAAACAAGTGAAGTAATTTAATAAAAGAACATTAGAAACAAGTTCACTAATAAATTCCACTAACAAGAACTTTTCATCTTTTCTGATAATCCTTGTTTTATTACTATCAAGAAAAAGGCTTCCATTTTATGGACCCCTCCCCATAAATAAAAGAAAAAGAAAAGAAAGAAAACACATTTATGGACTGTACTAGGGGCTGCATTATCAATAATAACACCCCATGTCAGCCATAAAAGTGTACATGGCTGTCGCCGGAGTTATTACAGCCATCACGTTCAGCTAATCCAGTCAATCTGCACCTATATGGTGTGTAAAACTAACCTTTAAAGGGATCAAGTAACGTATAGCCATGTATCTGCGGAAGTCATCCATAGTGCTGAGCATTTCGACCCTCCCAACCTTGACAGGCTTCTCATATGAATCCATGCATGGATTCACAGAGAAGTAACGGTAAGAAGTCTCTCGAAGCATGGCGAATTGGGCGGGATGCCTCACGGAAGACCCCACATGGTAGATGAACTCAGACGAGTGATTGAGATGAGCTACCATGGCCACAATAATGGAATTCACCACCATATCTCCAGGAATCTGTCATTGCTTCCAACTTTAATATCAAAAGTATTTCTTACTGTATGTACATGGTTGAATGATGTATAGAGAAGATGAGTTAACTCACCACATCCATGATCAACTTAGGATCACCAGGGAAACCAGTTAGCCTTCCCTTGCCATAACCCAGTATCAGACTATCAATGGTTCTGTAATTGATCAAAATGAGGAAGAAGGAAATGTGATGAGAAAGCAGTTTGCTTTAGCAGTGAAAGTAAATAATTTTGGAGAGAGAGAGAGAGAGAAAGAAAGAGAGAGAACTTATGCAATTACCTGACCCCTTCAATCCAACCTGGAAATGGTTCATTGTAAGTGCTTGTTATGATGGTTGGGCGTATAATAACAAGGGGAATGTTTTCTCTGTAGTGCCCAAGAAGCATCTCTCCCATTGCCTTTGTGAAGGCATAGGTATTTGGCCAGCCATATAATCTTGCCCTAATTTGATAATAAAAAGGAAAGATGAACATCAACAAAACCCATATACACTTTATACATGCTAAACATAACATGCACTGCCTTACAAGTATTAATAAGTTTACAAAAACAAAATAACAGAGAATAATCAGATAACAAAATTCAACTAACCTATCCATTTAAATCTAGAGCACTTTGTTATAAAAACTGATCTCTTACAAATAGAATGGCTAAAAGAATTAGAGGAAAACTGAAAAAAAAAAATTGGGTAGAAGTAATAAGAAATGATTTAAGCATTCATAATTTAATGATAGATACGACATTGAACAGAATGGAATATGATGAAAGGGGCTTCATCTAACCAACCCAAGGCTGGAATGATGATGATGATGAATTTAGCAATCGATGATACCAAGGCCATATTTGGTTTCAAGGAAAAGGTAGGGAACAGGAAAATCTATACAAGATAGGAAAAGGTAGGGAAAAGAAAGGAAAATGTAGAAAATTCTATACAAGGTTTTTCCTTCAAACCAAACATAGCCTAAGCAGAAACAAAAATTTCAGAACAGAATAAGATGTAATTAAGTAGCTGACTTAATATAGTTGGGATAAGACTTAGACGACGATGATGATTATAAAAGATAAAAACTAGAAAAAGGTTTTCTATGACTGTCATAATCGTTTCAATTTTGCACTAAATATAAACAGCATTTACTAAGCASAAATTCTTTTATGTAAAGATGATATGTATAAAAGAGAAATGTAAAAATTAATAAAATTAAGTTGTGGGGCCTCCTTGCACATGGAATGCTTCATCAGATGAGTTAGACAATGCCTTAATATTTGAACCCAATGTGTTAGACTTGAGAGCTATTGCATCAGAGTGAATGTGGCAACCACATCCATAAAGGTGGGTTAGAATGAATTTTGTTACGGGTACAATGGAGTGGGTTGGGCCAATTTAGGCCCAATATTGAAACCTAGACTTAGGTCCAAGCCACGCCCAATTTAAGGTCAAAGTTCGTGTTGACGAACCTAAACCAATTCAAGCTAAACCCAAAATAACTTGGGTTAAGTTTAGGCCGGCGTATAGTCTGGGCGGGTCAAGGCAGGTTTGTTCTCAAGGTTTTCTTGCTGTTTCGTTAGGGGATGTTTGCCAATATCTATGATTCTGTTTCTTAAAAGAAAAACAATTTTCACATCAACAAGATTATATTATTCTTAGCTTCCTTTTGAGGTAGGGGGTGTTCTCTAATATGAATTGTTTTTCTTGAGGTAGGGGGAGTTTCTCAATTGTTTTACTTTTTAGTTGCATATATATTTCTCGTTTGAAAAACTGAAATCAGACATATGTTTGAAAAACCGATATGTGTAATATCGGTTTTCATAAAAGGCATTCATGTTTTATAACACCGAGTAAAATAAAAAAAAAAAAAAGGACAAGGCTAAAATCACGTAGTAGCTAAGGTTGATTTTTAGAGTAAAAGAATTGACGCAGGCCTCACTTTCTACGCTTTGGAACTTTGAACCCACGTCTCCTCAAAGAGAAATAAATGCCAACTGACATCATTGACCCTATAAACCACATCCTGCCCGTGAATTTGGCATCAATTCACGGTGAGGATGCATTCCTCCTGTACTTCGTGGTTAGTAAACTTTGAGCTGGGTGGATCGGTACTTCTCCCTAAAATATATATCAATTTTTAAGGATCCATACCTGCACTTGAAATGAATGATGGACAGCTAATTTRGACTATTTGTATAAATACATATTTTATCAATAAGTAATGTATAATTATTTTTTTAGATATGTTATATATATTATTTTATATTTAATTTATATTTTTAATTCAGTTTTTAAGTTTTTATTTATAAATAATATTAAAAATTGTAATTTAAAGCCAAAAAAGAGTTTTTTCACAAAAATAGCTGGACAAGGTGCTAGGGCATCTTGGGACACATAGATCTCAAAAAATTACTCAAAATAAAAAAAAAAAAAAGATCATTCCAAAAGGAATGCAAAATCATGGCTTTCGAAAGTTTGGATGCATTAAATGTGCAATCTACAACGTGGTGACCGAGTCATTGATTGAACTGGCTGGATAGTTTTTAACCGATTGATGGGTTTTAACAGAATGAAACAATACATGAATCCAATGTTCCAACTTATGGTATTTGTGTTCGTTATTAATAGCTATCTAGATTTTCAAATAGTTGACTGAAAAATGCCCTTAATAGATGGTGGTTTCTGGGTCAGTGGATAGCTAATGAAGATCACGGAGCTAGCTGATTGCGCTGATAATGATAGAGCTTTTTCTAGGGTCTGCTTCTTCCCATTTAAAAAAAAAAAACAAAAGGAGAGAGTGATGAAGTTGTGGGGAAGTTCATATGCAAGATGGGAAACGCACCCTAGTGAATGAGGAAGGTGTAGAAAACAGTCCGTATGCATCTAATGCTCACAGCAGGCAGCAGGCCATCAGTGACAACTGACAATTCAGGGAGGGGAAATTAGTTTTGCCCTGGTTTCTCCTGTACTTTTTTTCCCAATCTTCCTTGATGATCTTATACTTGATTCCTCTGTCCTCGAATTAAATGAAATTTTAAATACTACTATAAAATTATTAATTTTTATTTCAAATTTTATATTGCATACTTACCATAGTAATAGTTATTAATTCTTACATACGTACCATCGTAATAATTCTTATTTCAAAATTTATATTACATACTAGTGGAGGGGGCCCTATTTCTTCCTGGCTCCAATTTATTCACATTAAAGACTTGACTTTGAGATCAGAAATACAAATTCGACTACTTTTGATTATAGGTTATAATTTATAAGAAGAGAGATGGTAGGAGAGAGATAAAATTCTTGTAACTTGTAAAAATATGAAAGAATTGAGAGAATGTTATTTTTATAATTTAAAAGAAAAAAAAAAGAAAAAAAGAAAAATTAATATACACATTTCAGCTTAATATATTTATATAAATATAAATGTCCTGTTAATTTCTTTGTTATGCTGCCACTGGATTTACTTGTCTTACTATACAACACTCTTAAAGTCATTAAAGTCACAAACTCTGATAGGTTGTGAGGCCTCCCACGTGTCTTTACTTGTCTTACTGTACAACACTCTTAAAGTCATTATTGGACCTTTTTTAGGTATAAAGAGTCAGTGAATTTTTATTGGATTTCAGATTTCTATTGTAATAGGGATCTCTTCACTCTTCACTTCTTCAAGGTCACTTCAACCAAACAGCCACACTGTTTGTGTTTTGGTTGCATTACCAAAACTCTCAGTAGTAATTCATTAGAAAAATGTCTCATCAATTGGGTTGGGTGACCCCCTAATTGAAATATTGAATCACAACTTTCCTATACTGATATAATCTATTAATTAACAGCATTGAAACATCTACAAAACTAGAAAAGGGACATCCCATCCTCGATTGTCTAGTACAGTAAATGSTTGGGGCCTTGGATCCAACTTTCCAACTTCCATTGGGTGATGCAAGTCTAAAAGCTAGACAACAACCCCCTAATCTTACCATAGAGACAGGCCATGGTTAGAAATAATTCTTACCTTTTTAATCCAAGTTCTTTCATGGCAATTCTCTCTTCTTTTATTGTGATCTTCTCAGCCTGAAGTTCTTTCAATCTTTCCTCCGCAACCTTCAGCTCTTGTTGGATGTCTAGCCCCAAAGTCCCATTGAGCGTTTCGCCCATTTGATATGGTTTCTCCAGCATCAGTCCTTCCTGTTGTCCACCCACATATGCTGAAATAACCATGCATGTCACATGTTAATCCATCAAACAACCCAAGAAACTCGGTTAATTAATTTCTAGTAGAGAGAGAGAGAGAGGGAGTAGAAAGATTGGCAATTATCCCATACACCAAGCTAAGGATAAAGCAAATCTGTTAACTCACCAGTTGATACATGAACAAATATCTGCAACTTAGAACATTTCTTTGCAAATTCCAAAACATGCTTTGCTCCCATGGTGTTGATAAACAATGAATCGTCATATCTGCACATAAAGAAAGAATCTCATTCTTCAAATTATCTAGGGTTCAGTTTGGAAAGAGTACAAATAAAAATATGTACAGTGCAAATGCATACAAAATGATACAAATTGTTTTTATTTCCATGGTTACCTTTCATCAAAGTTGACGGTTGCAGCAATGTTAACAACAATATCAACTTCTCTCCACATCTTATCCCTCAAATCAGTTTCTTCTACTCCTAAGTTCTTACAAGTGATATCGCCTGGCACTGGAATCACCTTCTCAGACATGAAAGAATCAAAACCAGAACCAAGTTTCTGTCTTAGGACCCTAAACACCTCTTTTCCTAACACCTATGAGATTAACAAAAAAAATATTGTTAGCAGATGAAGCAGACTAAAGCAGAGCAAATCTCCTTTCAGTTTTATCTCTACCATTTTATGCAGGACAAAGAAGGAAACAGAAGAGAGAGAGAGAACAATCGCTGTCTACCTCATTATGCAGCCTTTGAATGGCTGACTTGGTATGGGGAGCTCTTAGAAGAAGATACAGCTTCTTTACATTAGGCTGAACTCTAAGCACTTTCTCCACAAAAACTGCATCCCATAAAGCAGAGCTAGTGCTGTTAAACTAATGGATGGCCAGTGAAAGAAAGATTAACATAAAGAAACCATTTTATGACAGAAATGAAAGAGAGTGAAGGAGATCATTGAGTACTCTTTGCTACAAAACCAGTAGCACCAGTGACAAGGATAGTCTTGTTCTCAAGAGACTCCAGAATACCAACCAACTCCATTTGGAAAAGAGAAAAGAGCTACAAGATCAAACTGATGGCTGGACAACCTTCTTCTAATTCTGCGTGTATTTATAATGTAAAATTTTCTGATGTCAGAGTGCAGGAAAGTAGTGTTTAATGCAGTGTACGCATTTCGTTGGAATAAACGCTATTGGAAAAGATGTCATCATGTCATCCGGTGATTTCCCTCAAACAACCCAGAACTTTCCACGAGGCAAAACTTATTAAGAATCCGAACGGGCCTACATTTGTTTAATCTGCATCTTTTCATCGGATAAAATACTAATACATGTGTGGTGTGTTAGACCGGAGGACTGATCATCTGGCCAATGTATAGAGAGTCTCCTACATGGCCGATGGTTTGGATCTGCCACATSTACTCTGTTTTAGCTACATGGAAGAATCTTAATGGCCAATCCAGTGGATTCATAATGAAGTAGATATGTATTCGATCTGGCAGTCCACCTTAGCCTTCTTCCAACTTTGGATTAATAGAGTTTATTTCCAGTAATAATCAGTAATCACCTTCCTTTTTTTTTTTTTTTTACTTTAAGGGTAAAAAGGAATTTATAAAGCCTTTTTTGCTCTACCTTTAAAAACCTAACAAGTGCCAATGTTATTATAATGCCAGATTTTCCCTTATTTAAAATCATCAAATTATTAATGACTGAAATACTCTTAAACTAATTGATAAAATACATACTCTTGGGTCTTTAACTAATTTAAAATAACCTTAAACCTCTCTTTACCCGAAAATGGTTTGTTTATGCCATAAAAAAATAAATACTAAATTGTATTTACTCATATTAATAATTTAAGGGTAAAGTTGAAATTAAGAAAAATCTACTAACTTGATGAGAAATTAGTATGAGCATAATAGACATTTAATGTCTTTCTCCACTTAAATAGCGGAAGGGGTCTATAAGTCGTATTCCCAAAGTTAAGAGAGGTTTAAGGACAAACCAAAAGTTGAGGGGAGATTTAAGGAAGAAACCAAACTGCTTCATGGTGAAGTCGAAAACGACACTCCACCTGTGAAGGAGGTCGTTTGACACGTGAGGAAGGTCGTTAGTTGAATTTGCATCCAATCGGCGAAAGCAGGTTGTGTCTTACATCGACTTGAGATTTTTCCGAGTCGATCACAGTTCGGTCTGCCGAGGTCCGCCAAGGCTTCGGCAGGCTGTGTTTGGGTGGAAGCGGTGTAATATTGCTCCACCCCCGTACATATTTGTGTTGTGTTGTGTTGCCGTTGTATTTTGGGTTGATCAATACAAGAAAGATGTATTTTGAGTTGACCTATACAAATTTCTACTTCTACTTAAAACTTCAAATTTGATGTCTCTTATACATGTGTATTTTTTTAGTTAAAATGGCAATCATATATGATGTAGCAACACATATTTCTCACTTACAAAATTGTATTACCAACCACAACGCAACAACAACAATACAATGCCAAAATCCCCTAAAAGTCTCAACATTGAACAAGCCCATTTTAGAGCCTGACGAGCTAAGACAACTTGGGAAGAGCAAGTTAGTTTCTATATGAGAGAGAGAGAGAAGGAAATGAGTTAGACGTTGATGATATTACAAGGAAGATGGATGCATGTATCAAGCAGTCTGCATGGGATAATTAGGGTCCGTTGATCAGAATTGGAATCCCTAGGAATCAGAAATCCCCAAGAATCGAAATCGGAATTGGAATCACCTATTCATTATGCATGTTTGGTTCAATCAAGAATCAGAATCAAATTCCGATTGTTATTGTTTGGTTCATTTGGATTTGAAATGGAAGTCAATTGAAAATTTTCAATTTTTATTAGTCTATTTATTATTTTATTATTACTTATTAATATATAATTATTATTTAGTATTTATCATTAATTTATGAATATTTTATTAATATTATATCATTTTTATTTATTATTTTAAAATGAATGTATTATTAATTAATATCCAATCAAATCTATTTCGATAATACAAATTGTAGATTCGATCTAATCTGAATATCCAATCAGATCTCACAAATGTCGATTTGAATTTGGATCCATTAAGGATGTCTGATATCCTAATTTGATCTGATTTGATTTAATTTTTGAAAGTATAATAAATTATTAAAAGAAAAAAAATAATAATTTATATAAAGAAAAACAACAAAAAAATACTATGAAAACCGAAAAAACAATGAACCGAACCGATAGTTAACCAAACCAATTGGCTTCGGGCTCAGTTTTGGTTACCGGTATCACCTGTTCAGTTTCAAAAAAGACGAATAATTCGGTTAACCAAAGCGTGAACACCCCTACTGAATTTTAAAAAAGCCTATATTTATTTTTTAATAAATATGTATAAGAGGGATTAATGATTGATCAATTGTTTGAAATAGTAGTGCTTTCGAACTGCAATTGATCCAAACAATTGGACCGTTCATCACAAGAACCATCCAAKGAACTAGTTGTGTTTCATTTTCAACTCAATCCTTACCCAAAAATCATTGATTTGATCAAAAACCCATTGACCTATAAATGGTTGAGCCATCAACCTGTTCAATTGATTTTGGCTAATTTTTTTTTTCAATTAGAATAGGCCGTCTAATTGAACTGGACGGTCAAATTATGGACCCCAAAGCGGGTCAGAACAGTTCCGGTTATGGAAGTGACGTTGTTTGATTGGATTAAAAACTGGTACCAACTTGGAAATGCCACGTGTTAACCCTCGTTTGGGTGCAGAATGTGCTGCCTGCGAAAGTGGCAAGGGATTGGGAGCGGTAACTCTAGAAGAGGAAATACATGTATTATATATGTCGGCCGGTGCCAAACCTAGAAGTATCTATTATGAATATTTATTCATTTATTCCAACTTCCACCACACCACAATCAGTAGTATTGGTTGACTTTAATTAGAACAAAACTCCCAACAACTCAATCACGTCCACCATTTCCACCCTCAACAACGCGATTTCATCCTTTGGTGTCTCCCGATCGACAACAAACCCATGGGGATTCCAACTACCAAGAGTTGAAGTTGAATTAGATTGAACCCAACATATATAAAGGTTTGTTTTATGGGAAGGGGATGGGACCAATTAAATCATATCCTTCATATTCAAAGAGTGGAGAGAGTTTGGCTGGCAGGATACAACACATACAATTCGATGCTGAACATGTTTTTTTGGGTGTTTTTCTTTTAATATGCAATCTATTTTCGAACCATATGATCCATACCATATTATTTTTCTTCTGTTAGGAACTCCCAACAGGAAAAAGCAATTCACATTAGAGAACAGTCCTTGATTTATTAACGACTGAACCTGAACCTGGCTCAACTACTTTATCCTAAAAATTTTCTTTATTTAATTATTTTATCCATTAAAAACAAGGCAATTATAAATCATTCAGCTCACCTTCTTCTTCACCTGTCATCAAACAAGTCTAGAACCAGCCAGCGTTCTGAATGACATTTTCATTTTGTTGCTACTTCTAAAACCAGCTAGCCATGGTTCCAGGACAAGAAAAATTCCCACTTTTTTGAGCATTATATGAAACATAGATTTTTGAACACAACATGGTTGTTGTTGAAAAAGAAGGTAGACATTGCTAGGAGATTCTTTGTATTTTGGCCCATATTCATATACTAGTGAATATGTACGTACATTTGCACATGACAGTATCTTCAAGACAAAATTATTTATAATTCATGGGAAGTTTTTAAATAGTTTAATAAATTTCGATTTCGGTTTCGATTTTCAGCATTGGAAATTTGGTTAATCGAAAAAATCAAATTAACCGAAATTTATTATATACATAATATGATATATATTATTAATATGTAAAACATAATATATTATATAATGTGTATATAATATATATTATATATTATATTAAAATATATAAAATACATTAACATATACATATATTTTATTATACATAAATATATTAATATATATAATATATAATATGTATTAGTATAATATTTATAAAATTCGTTTTTAACCGAAAGAACTGAAAAAATCGGTTTTGTTGTTTCGTTTTTTAATAATTTGGTTTTGGTTTAGTTTTATATTTTATAAGTTCGGTTTTTAAAAATTTGATTTATTCAGTTCAGCTTTTAACCGAATAAACCGAATGTTCATCCCTAGTAATAGAGGTACTTTAAGTAGGGTTTCAAACTTCAGGACAAATTACCCCGTCTTGAGTTAGCATTATCCAAAGCCAAGAAGAGCCCAAGAGCTCAAACCCAAGCCCAAGGCCAGAGATCATCTAAAATTGCAAATAGAAAACCAATTAGGTCCACATCAAAGACCCCATCTAAAGCCAAAAAGACACTACTTTGAAGAGATTTGCCATGCTTTCTTCCCCTTCCTCTCCGTTATCCTCTTAAATTATTCCCACCTCTTACTTTTTCCAAACCAGTGCCCAAATAAAGATCTTTCGGAAAAGTACAAATAGACCCAATGTAGCTTTCTGAATTCCACTATASACGTATAAACATTCAAATTTTCAAAACCCCCCATTCTATACACCAATGCTTGCCCGTGAATTGGCATCAATTCCAAGCTGGCACCTACCCCAACTGTATTTTGGGCCTAAAAATTCTAACCCTGGGCTGAACCATCATTCTCCCAAGATCTTTCAAATCCTTTTGACTTTCTAAAACCAGGAATGCCAACAATGTAATAGACTAATTCATCATTGCCATCAACTCTRTTGGCATATTCAACTGAGTTCCTATCAACAACGCTAGAAACCGAATCCCAAACTTCATTGATGTATGGTTAAAGCTCTTCCTTTGAAGCCACTGCACTTCTGGGCTGCAAGTCGGGTTGGGTTAGGTTGGGTTGAGGCCAACCCTAGCCCAACCCTAAGTTCTAAACCTCCAACCTTAACCCTAACCCAACCCGACCTACCCAACCCTAACCCTAACCTTAACTAAATTCCTTCAACCCTGACCTTTGGGTTGGGCCCAACCCGACCTTCTTCCCATCCCTTAAAATCTTGTAGAGCTTCTTAATCTTAGATCTTAACTCAACTTTCATTACATATATTAATCCTATGTTTT